TCACATAATTTCTGTGTTTTTTATTTGGTGTGTGTGTGTCTTAGTTTTATTCCGAATTAGATGTAATATGCCTTTTGCTGTGTTATATTAAATTAAATTGGTGTTCTCCTAATTCCCCATTCTAGTATGACCAGCAGAGTGCAGCTGAAGCAGGACAGGCTTGTAGGTCTTACTGATTCCTCCAGCTGCTAGAGACGATCAGAGCATGAGGATGGAGAGACCAGTAAGTGTTGAGTCAGAGAAGGTCAGGTAGGGAAGGAAGTGTTGCTTATAGGGGTCGTGTGTGTTTGGCTAAATATATTTTAACATACATTTTATTTAGTGGTTTTAAAAATAATGCATGCTTATGTGTTAATGATACATTGTAATAAAAATACAAAAATTACAACCAAAATCCTGGCAGAAATAAATAAACAAGTTTATATCAGAGCTTTTTCTTTTTGCACCTGGAACACATTAAAAGCGAATTACCAAATTTACTTTATTCCCTGTTATGTTAACGTTATTTCTCCTTTTTTCATCCGCACTGCAGCTGGAGCTGGACTGGAGTTCTGTTTGGCTTTAGTGGCTTCCTGGATGGAGACATCGACTGAGCTAAAGCGGCTAACAACGCAACATTTTCCTCTCCCATTATAAACTTTGCTTTTCTTCAACATGGAAAATACTCCTACATCAGTAGCTCTGTTTGTTATTTTGACATCAATGCTTACCTGATGGCCAATTGATCCTCTTAACCACTGAATGTATCGGAACCACCTGGACTGAGCTGGTTTCGTCAGAGGGAGCTAAGACTTCGATAAAATGACTTCCCATATTTTAAGATGTTCTTCTGGTAAAATTGCATCTTTATGATCCTAATATGACTGCATTCTGATAATTAAAAATACTTGTAACCTGGCCATAACACTCCATTATACAACTCACAAGAGGAATGACAGAATTAAAGCCACTTTGTGAAAGTATTTTCTGTATTTTGTTTTTGAAAAGATATTGAGGTTGACTAAAATTAAATCTGTTATGAAAAAAACTGTTCAGTTATATCATCCAGCCTTATTCAGTATATTATTGAATTATTTTCCTAACTGCATATTACTTAATATTCAGATTTCTTTGCTGGTATTACTTGAAAGTGTTTCATTTTAATATCTCGCTTGAAGGCCGAATTACATGCAAATACTTCACATAATGTTACAACTGAGATAAGGGAAAAAGGTTTGTAAAATGTAGAGTATTACAAAAGAGATTACATTTTATTTTAAGTCCAAACAGTATAACGAAATGAACACTAAAAATATACAATACACTTTCCAGCAGTTACTCAAACTTGTTTGTCTTTACTGGTGATGAAAACTTGTCACTCTGGAGGAGAGAGGAAGAGGAGAGAGGAAGAGCAGCTCAGCCCAGTCCAGGATCACTGCAGTGTCAGGGTAGCTGCTTAAAGTCTGCAGGTAGATTTTTGCGTAGCTGGTCCTCTGGTTTTCAGATCCTAATTTTAAATAAAAAG